ATATGTAGAATTTATTGTCGTACTCGTCTATCAAATGTTTGACATTTAAATACTGTATAAGTTCATAGATCAACTAAAGTTCATGCAGAGATAAATACACGGTTTCCCTTATTCAGAGGAGAGTCAGAGGAGTTTATCTTAGACATTGTTATCTCAGGAAATGCTAATGATGTATGGGTTCTTGGGAACTGACATAAAATTATTTTAAAAGTATATTTGAGGGTACATGTGAGGGTGTATAAGAAACTGATTAAAAGAGTGAATGTGAAGCATGAATGTGTTACATACATGTGGAGTGATTCTAAAGATATGACTACTGAATGAATAAGATAGCGATAAGGGTTCATACAGTCCACATTATGTCCAAAGATTTATTCTACACAAATTCTATTATTTTTCTCATTGAATTACTATTTTTTTATCGTAACACTGCTACACCTTTCAGTCTTTTAACCTTGAAAACTTAGAAACATTTTTATCTTACATTCCTTCTAAATTAAATACTTTATGCAACTCCATTTTTGAAATGTAATTCCATCCATATTTTGAAAGCTTATAATTCTAAAATATTCCAATTGAACTGCAAAATCTCAGAATTACAAAAATGACGAAACTGAGGACTTGAGAAGATACGTCCTCCAAAATTTCGTGTAATAAAAAGATCGTATCTGAAACGTGTGATGAAGATATTATTACGAAGCGTTCGTATGTTGCCCCTCCACAAAGGCAGCCGTCCGGGTAAGTTTTTGATCTTAGCACAATACGTACATAGATGCGGAAGATTGGAAAAGGTGGTGTACAGAATTTCGCGTAGAAACGGGTCAAGGGTGATTAAGGGACCCTCGTGTGTGCTACGAAATCGGGGTCAATGGGATTCACTACCCTGGTCGGGTTACCTCCTCGACGAGGAGTCTCGGAGACGTTCGCTCTTAGCCGCTTAAAAAATACCTCGTCTTCGGCTTTATCTCCTAATATCTTGATTGCAAGTTATTGCGAGCGGGTCTCGTACAGGAAGAACTGCCATTATTCTTTTATAGCGCACGTGCGAAGCATCCCCTTCATAACGACGTCGCCTGGACTAATTTGACCAGCGAGCACGGAAGCACCGGGTAGAACGAGGCTAATAACGACCGCCTTTGATTCACTTTGATTCACACGTTGTATACAATACCGTTCAAAAGTATTTGTTCTATCCACGCCTTCTCCATATTTATGAAACGTACAGTCATTCACAAAACTCAAACCGTATGAAACCAGTGTACTTAATTTTAAATTATTGAAGTTGAAAAATAAATGAACATACAATCGTGCATTTGTCTTGATGAAAATCAGATTTCAAGAACAGCATTTTTGTCTAACTTGTTGGAACAACTTGTTGACTAACTTGTGGAGCAGATGTTTGTGGTCACACAACATTGTTAAGAATGGGGATACTAATCTTTCAATTTCATCCTTTGATCTGTTAACATATATCATTGTCTCAAGAGCTCTTAAGTTCCCTTCAATTTGCTTTTTTTACAAATAGTTAATTTAATTGAATTTGTCAGTCATATGGCCATCATGGTCAACATGTTAAATTGAAAGTAACATGTGGAAAAATAAATACTGGAATCGTTCAGAATGAAATACTCGACACTTGTTGTTATCATGCAAATTTGAGTAACTTGAAAAATAAAGTGGTAGAATATTAAGGATGGTTTCCCTCGAAGTTGCGTTTCAGCGAACAATATGTATCCTATATTTTTGTGTACTTAACAAACGTATAGACTTCCTTCCCCAGTAAATAAAATTTCGTATTGCAACCAAAATAATTACAATTTTTTTAACCGCATACCGCCATTCATCCTACAAAATTTCGCTCGACAATCGTACATGCACAGATAAATATTTAACGAAGCCAGTATCAACACAGCTGTTAATAAACTCGGCTAAGATTAATTGCGAAAAAAATATATCATTCTGTCGTTCGGGGGGTAATTGGATTCAGATAAAAAAGCGGATAGCGACTGGTCGTAGTTGACAGTTCGAAAATTAAGATGAATATTTCATTAACGCGAATACAGCCTCCGTCGATCGACATATAATTGAGAATGAAAAATTTACCGTGGGAATATTGAAAAAGCGACGGCAATCGAACGACTCTACCACCCTTTCTCGCCTCCTACTCTGCCATCGATCAACATCGAAAGATAAAAAGACACCTCAGAAACTGTCACTCGTTGCGATCGATAGATATACGCGGAATTTTGACAAACGATAGCGCGATAGTACGACAGCAAGTTTGCTCGTATCAAGAATGATTGATCGCTGCATTAAAGCTGGTTTCCCGTGGAAAAAACCTTACAACCATGATGAATCGGATGTTCGAATGCGACCGGGAGAAAGGATCTTTTACGACATTAGTATTCTTTTAGCTTTCTAACTCTATTAAGACAGAGAGTACTTGCAAGATGTTGGCAAGATGTTGGCAAACGTTAACCTTTGTTTGGGTTACATTTGCGTGTAATTAACCCTTTTGCGATTATCGGCGACCGTGGTGCGTCAACACGTAGTTTCACGGCTCGAATATTTGGTTAACTTTAATTGTATATTTTTATGTTACAATGTGCTTAAATTTGGCGGAAGGTTTGTGAATTGGGAGATGGTTTTCAGGGACCTACACCAGTTGTGAGACACCCTATATACAGATTATAATACAAGACAAGTTTAATACACAAGCTTTACAATATCTCCTGATCAGAGATTGTAGATTACGTTTAAAAATATTTCATACTGTAAACATGGAAGAAGTAGAATTACTACGTCAAAGTTAAACGAAAAATAAAATAAAAATCAATTTTCGCTGCTCGTGACACTTTATTACGTCGATAACGAATTAACATGTCCCTGATATTTTTCCATAAACTTGAATTACACTTTTTGAAATAGAATTATTAAACATATTCGTATTGTCGAAGTTATGAAGCGTTATGAAATTAGTTTTTACGATTCAATACAGATTTAGAGGGTGCGCCGGAAAAGAGTCTTGATGCACTGTCGACAATCGACAGTTTAATGGGAAGCTGTAAACTCCTGCATTGCGAAAGAAAATAGAATAAAAGGTAGTTTACGATTTAGCTCGTTTCAACGGGACACGGTCTGTAGCTTTCAGCAAACAGCAATAGTAAGTCTTGTAAAATATATAGGTTTACATAAAACACCGGATTACGCGCGTATTATTGCGCTACTCTTTGATCCTGATGAGTTTTCGCCTTTATTTCAATAACACTCCCTTCTTAAAGGCAAACGAAATTACTACACTTGTTTCTCTGCTTTACACCAATCCTTATAATCATTCGTGAAAATATACGATGCTTTAGGACCGTTTGTGTATAAACGTTTGTTTATACGAGACGAATATGTGGTACCAATATGTGGTGCAATTTATGACGTGCAATTTATGTGGTGCAATATACACAAATGATGTAAAGCTACATTTTTTCAAATAACTGTATTTCTTCTAAGATTCATGCATTTTATTTGTGTGTTGAATGTAATGTTATTACAATTTATTTAGTTTTGTAGTGGTAACATATAAGTTCTATTATAACAATTTAATGATACATAATTAATCTTGCTTTCTGATCGATATGATTGGTGATGTTTGAATCTGTTTGATCCTGTTTAATTCTGTTCAATTCTGTTTGATTTTAATTGCCTGTGTTTGATTCTGAGTTCGATTGATTTTGTTTGATCTTATTTGTCTCTGATCGATGCTGTTTGATTTTCTTTGACTCTGTTAGATCATATCTGATTAATGTCATATATTCTTTAGAATAATTCTTTCTTAGGAACAACGACGATTCCATTCATTAATTGCCATCTTTAATTCTGTTTGATTGCGTTTGATTTTATTTAATACTGATTGACTCTGTTCGATTTTGTTTGATCTCCTCTGATTCTGTTTGATGCTGGCTGTTAATTCCAAGAAAGAATGATTATGAAGAATACATGACAACATTAATTATAATCAAACATAATCAGCATTCTTCTTCTTCATTATAATTCCTACATTTTGTAGTTAGTTTAATTCAGAATTAAATTGAATCAAACCATCTAACGCATGTTAACTCAAGATTTAATCCTGCATACAAAAAGTTTCTTGATCAGCTGTGAAATTCTAGAATCTCCCGAATCAGAAAAGAAGTACCTCTTTGCCTTTCTTCCCGAAGAAGAATAAAGAACCATTCTCCGTCGGTCTCAGCCGAAAAGTTCGCCGGTTTAATAAAGGGGTAACGTTTGCGGGGGTTAAGGAGGGTCGAAATTGGGCAAACGACGCGTTCTCGGAAGTCTTTCTTTCGAGATTAAATATTTTCGGTGTGTCGTCAAAGACAAGGTTCCCTTCGTTGCTCTTTGTAATATTAAAAATGTTCATAACGATGCCGATGAAGACCGGGAAAAATCTTGCGCCGTTCTTTCAACCCTTGGAAATTCCTCGTTTTCTCGTTGCGTTCTTTTTTTCGTTTTTACGTCTCGAGTGCACGTAATAAAGATCTCTTCTTGCGTTTACGTCGCTTCTTTAGTATTTGAATTGGTAAACGTTTTGCAGTGTCTTTGACCTTTCTTGTGTCCGTTTAATTCGTTCCATTCTTCATTCTAAGAATAATTATGGAGGTAATATAAAGATGGAGTCGCCATTTTGTTAGTTCAGTATGGTGGAAAAATAATGAAATACAATTTTATGTAATTTTTTATTTTTTTGTTCTTTGAAATAAAATAAAATACTTACCTCAGCATTGCAATATAAAATTACATAAATAATGAAAAAAATTGAAAATTCATTCAAATATTGAATTTTAAAAAATCAATGAAAAATAACTATTGAAAGATAAGGAGTAAATTAAAGAGTGAAATTAATTTTAGAAACAGTATTACTTCCTAGTTCCGTAAGTCACGATACACAAATAATTTATCTGGCTATAACACGAGAATAATTACGGATTTCTCGCGTGTGATTACAGATTTTCGAGCAGAAAAATCGGCTTGCATGGACCTTGACTAACTGGCCTTAATGCGAGGACTGCAGGCATTCAGTGCGCCGACAGAGGGTGAGTTTATTATTTATCGATCGTTCAACATTTCCTCTCCTGTCGTATAAATATAATATTGCTGGGAAATTGAACTCGGCGGGGGATTAGAAAAAAGACGACACGTAAGCATCGAACGTCGATTAACACAATTTTGTTCGTATTATATGAAGTTATAACTTGTATGCAAAATTACCATTTCCTAAATGACTCGCATTTAAAAAGTATCGGGACTCATGAACATATCAATGATATATTTCTATGAAGATGTCTATGATGTTTGAAAATGAACATATTAATGATACAGGTACACGAACATGTGTATGATGTATGTAGATGAACATATTAATTACATATGTAGATAATCATATCAATGATATATTTCTATGAAGATGTCTATGATGTTTGAAAATGAACATCAATGATACAGGTACATGAACATGTGTATGATGTATGTAGATGAACATATTAATTACATATGTAGATGAACATATGAATGACATATTTCTATGAAGATGTCTATGATGTTTGAAAATGAACATATCAGTGACACAGGTACATGAATATGTGTATGATGTATGTAGATGAACATATTCATTACATATATAGATGAATATATTATTGACATATGTAGATGAATATATTAATGACATGTGTAGACGAACATATTAACGACATATGTAGATGAACATATTAATGACATCCACATCATATCAATGATATATGTACACGAACAAATCAGTAACATTCACATATGAACAAATGAATGATATTACATACATGAGCATATTAATGATATCCATATGTATGTACGTAGTGATGTCAATAACATATGTAAATGAACACGTCAATGACATACGTAGATGAACATATGAAATGACATATGTGTATACGCATATCAATGTATCATATCAACATTTCGTTCACAAATACATGAATACGTATATGAATGATACATGTATCATATCAATAACATGAGAACGTATGAATAACCTATGTGGACCTATTAAAGATATATGTAAAGATATCAATAACATAAGAATATGAAGATATGAATGATGTATGTGGGTATAAAATGATAAGGCTGTCAGTTGAAAGTAGACGGTCGTAAGTTTGATTCAGTCGCAAACTAGTCTCGGACGGTTATGTACCGAATCGGAACGATCGATTCGAATCCCCTAGTGACTTCGCAATCTTCTTCCGTGATACTTGCACGGGTTAACGCTTTCATTTCGAACGGTAATTGTTCGAAATCGCATGAGAAATTACGGGCATCCTGTGTTCGACGTTGAATGCTGCATCGATCGGGGAATTCAGTGATAGTACCCGATGATTTCTCCGGCCTCTAATATCGTATTTTAAAGAAATTGTTTCAACTATCCTATCTGAAATTTTTAACAATGCTTATAATACCCTCATCAAATAAAATACTTTCGACAGAAGTTTTCAAAGATATAACTTTCCGAGTGTAGATATTAAAATAGTAAGATGGTAGTCTTTAGTGTAAGTTACTCTCTACTGTAAGTTTAATTTGGATAAATAAATATGAATAGATAAATTAAAATAAATAGATAATTGTTTGAATAACTCTAAGAAATTGAGAGCTTTTTGTTTAACTCTGTTTCAGTTTGCTAGTTTAATGCGTTTACTAGCGTGTTGTCTACTGCATACGAAATAAATATTTCATTGCAAGGTTATTACTGTAACACTTGCCTGAGTCAAGGATGCATTAGGAGGTTATCAATTATTAACCGATTCGTCTAATCTGATCTGAAGAAAAGTGAAAAATTATCCTCAATCCTATTATTTTATCGAGCGATTAGATCTGAATGTTCATTAAAATACATCGTAACGTGCTATAAAAATCTACTTATGAAACATACAAATCAAAGTAAGAATATGAACGTTTCCCACGTTTATTCCTGTGAACTCGATTAATAGTACAACAAATTATCTTTAATTGACTGCACAATAAACTACTTTCGACAGAATATTAATTAACAAAAAAAATAGCTACTTGTTTTGAACACCAAAATATTTATTTATGTTTTGATGGGAAGTAACAGGAATAAAATATTCGGTGCCCAAAAAGAGTGGTCCTTTTTTGTTTTATTGGTTAGTACGAATTTAATGTTTCCATTCATCACTATGCTATCGACATGATATTAAAGATAAAAAGTTTATGTGGCAGTTAAATTGCGACTTTTACTGCCATGATATGACACGAAATGTCATGACGTTCGCCGTCAATAAAACTAGAAATTGTGTTGTGACATTGGATTTCGTATCGTAACTTTAATGTCACGGAATCAAATCGTATTGATCGACACTTGAAATGCTCTGTGTTTATGGAATGCATGCAGAGAAAAATTTCCAAATTTCTAAATTTTTAGATTTTCAAATTTTTCAATTTTCAAGTTTTTCAATTTTCAGTTTTCCAATTTTCACTTTTCCCAATTTCCACTTTTCCCAATTTCTACTTTTCCCAATTTCCACTTTCCTCAATTTTCCATTTTCCCCAATTTCCACTTTCCCCAATTTCCACTTTCCTTAATTTTCCATTTTCCCCAATTTCCACGTTTCCGAATTTCAGTGTCTTCCAATTCTCACATTTCCAAATTTCCACGCTTCCGATTTTCTACGTTTCCGAATTTCGGTGTCTCCCAATTCCCACATTTCCGAATTTCGGTGTCTCCCTACTCCCACATGTCCGAATTTCCACATTTCCAAATTTCTACACGTCATAACTCTGACGTTTCCGAATTCTCAAACCTTCAATTTCTAAATTTCCAAATCTGTAATTTCCGAATCTGCAAGCCATCTCTCAAAAATTGTCCAACTTCTCAACTGCAATCATCAAATTTCTATCTCAACAAAATTCTAAACCTTCTTTGCTCATCCTCATCTTCAAAGAAGTTTCATTTCCAAACTTGCCTAACTTAACTTCCTCACTACCATACCCTAACCTAAATCCACAACGACAACGATATAAACGATCAGGAAATGCGATCGATAAAAATTAGGGCATCATTACTAAACACGAGGGCGATGTTTGGCAATGGTTGTCTCCGAATTTGCGCCGATGAAAACGTAACATTTAGATCGTGGCTCGTATCCAGGCCAATCACGCTTCGCAGACGAATTAGCCAGTTTCAAGAACAACCACTCTTGTCTGTCCTCCTTTTTCTTCTTGTTCGTTCTTCTGCCTTGTTTTCCGAGACGAATTCCCGAAAGACACCGTTGAAACGAGTAATGCCAGCCAGCCTGCACTTTTCTACGAAATATTCGTTGGCAAAGTGCGCCGTTGAATTGGAACCAGTCGGCTGATAATGACCCCCGTGGATTGTCCTACGTTCGTTTCTTCTTTTCTTCATTCTCGTCTCTACGGTGTTTTTTATTCTTAGCGTACACTTGCCTGCTCGTTGGGTGTCAGACAATTTTTCTTTCTACTTCTGTCTGGCGATGTAGGAGATGAAATTGTTATCTTTTTGATTGAGGTAGGATTGGAGTATGATTGGTTTAATAGGGAATTTTATATTGGGAGAAATTTTGGTGGGTGAAAGTGGAGAAAATAGGGTTAGGGGAATTTAGGTTTTGAAGATTATAGGTTTTCAATTCTCTAAATTTTTAGTTTCTCAGTTTTTTAATTTTTTAGTTTACCAATTTCTCAATTTCTTGGTTTTTTAACTTTTCAATTTTTCAAGTTTTCAATTTTTCAAGTTTTCAAGTTTTCAAGTTTTTAAGTTTTCAAGTTTTCATGTTTTCAATTATTCATGGTTTTAACTCTTCAGGTTTTCAATTTTTCAATTTTTCAATTTTTCAATTCTTCGATTTTTCAATTTTTCAAGTTTTCAAGTTTTCAAGTTTCCAAGTTTCCAAGTTTCAGGTTTTCAGGTTTTCATGTTTTCAATTTTTCATGTTTTTAACTTTTCAAGTTTCCAATTTTTCAAGTTTGCAATTTTTCGTGTTTTCAATTTTTCAATTCTTCAATTATTGAATTCTATCAATTTTTTTAATCGTTTCAATTGTTCAATAATCTACCAATTATTCAATTCTTCAAATATTTAATTCTATCAATTTTTTTCATTGTTTCAATTGTTCAATAAATTATCAATTCAGCTATTCTTCAAGTTTTCTGGTTTGCACAGTAAAACACTTCAATTAAAAAATTCTCTCCTACAATTTTTAAATTCTCAATTTCCCAACGTTTCAAATAAAAATCCATGAAATAAAATCAAATTAAAAACTGTGTAACTTTGCACATATAAAAATCCGCACCTTCCAAAATACACCCCAAATTCATCATCTAAAAGTCCTCATTCGTCGATACTGTCTCAATACCGCATCCTGCAAAATAGCAGCAAAGGCAGCTTCAAAATGAAATTTAACTTTGTTAAGACTTGTTTTCATTCACGACACGGGTGTTTCCGCACCCACGCACGTTTCGCAACGCCTACAAACGTTTCTAGCAATACACCTTTTGTCTTCTGCGCTGTGTTTTAATTCATTGAACCGTGAACAAGTTTGACCTTAAAACACACACCTACACAGACAGATAGACAGATGTTCGTCGAAGTTTGTTTGTTGCTTCAAGGTTCTAGTTTGTTTTCTCTGGAAACGCCGCAGAATCTCGTGAAATGTGCGCTGCGGATGCACGCGACACACGGCAAGCTACGGCGAAACAGGGCGACGGTAATAACGTGAACGTTATTATGGCTCGTTCGAAATTGCACGGTGACACGGTATTAAATTTTTTACAGGAGAAAGAAAGTTCGGGAGCGGACGGAAGCGCAAGACGGAAAGTTTCGAGTGTCGGTGAATAAAAGGTCCCCTCGTTCCTCGCGTAAATTTCTTGTTTGCCTTCTTATTTCTCTCGTCGGCGAAAATCTTTGGAGTCCCGCGCATCGGCCTCCTTAGAAGGGACGAGGAAAAAAGAAGGGAAAGATCGCGAAGTGAAAAGGGAAAGAAAACGACAGTATTACCGGTGCTTAATAGAGATCTCGATGAAATTTTCTCTTGGC